TTTTTTCGGATTCACCGTCCTTTCACCGTGGATTCTGGCCTGATTTGATTCTTTTCATTCATGAATCCCCCGACGCCCACGCGGCCACGCTTACGGGAATTTATGCTGCCGAGCTCACGGTCTACGCACACATATGCCCCGGCGTACTTACAGTAGTAAGTAGGCCCCGACGAACTTAGTAAGTAGGCCGCGGCCAACATAGTAAGTTGAGTAGTGGACTTGGTAACTTACCTAGCACAGATATGTATATAGACTAATTCTTATTGTATCTTAGCCAACTTAACATAGCTGACATGTGAGCAACTTCACTAAGTACACCGTAACTGCTTCGTCAAAATACTATCTAGATAGCACAAGACCACCAACATAATATGTTGGCCAGGTAAACTTGATGATGTTGACGCAACTTATAACTTAGGTTAGCGTATGTTACGAGCAAGTTAGTATGTTGGTAAAGTACCCCTATCTAGATAGCAACCAGGGTGGTCATCCAAGTGGTGAACCTCCAAGTGCAGATTTCGTGGCTGGCGCAGCACTTAGTGAACCTTGAAATGCAGATTTCGTCAGCATTTGTGAACCTCGAAGTGCAGATTTCGTGGCAGGCGCAGCACTTGGTCAACCTCGAAGTGCAGATTTCGTGGCAGGCACAGCACTTGGTGGACCTGGAAGTGCAGATTTCGTGGCAGGCACAGCGCTTGGTGAACCTCGAAGTGCAGATTTCGTGGCAGCGCGCAGCACTTTGTGAGCCTGGAAGTGCAGATTTCGTGGCAGGCACAGCACTTGTTACGTGGCAGACGCAATACTTTGCGCTCTTAGATGCCCTCACTCTCACTCTCCCACTTTCACTCACACTCGCACTCCCTCACACTCCCCACTCTCACTTTCACTCACACTCGCACTCACAGTCACTCTCCCACTCTCACTCGCACTCACACTTACTCACTCTCACTCACACTCATTCTCATCTCTCCCACTCCCACTCACACTCACGCTCCTCACGCTCACACCCACTCACTCTCCCACTCACAGACTCACTCACGCTCACTCTCACCCGCACTCACTCTCACTCACACTCACTCTCATTCACTCACTCTCACTCTCACACTCACTCACTCTCCCACACCTGTACCTGCACTTTTACAACACTCCAATCTCCACCACTGTTCTTTGCTGTCACGGTTGTTCTCACGATAGACCCCAAAAACCTTTTTCCGCCGCTTTCCAGCTGCTTGTCGCCGCGGCCTTCTGCAGACACGCGCAAAAAGTGTTTTCAAACACCTTCAAACGCGCGAACTTTTCGCCATGCTGTTCCACCATCCCTTTCTCTGTGGATTCTGATACTGAATGAAACCTTATCTAAGTGTGTGTGTGTTGCCCCCTGTCTCCTGGGATTCTAATTTTCACCAGAGGTGTGCGGCATGATTGCGGAACCGCGCTCAACAAAGCTACCACAATCTGCCGAGCCTGATCATTTGAAGATTCTAAGTCTTTGATGACTCTACGTAAAACAACGCTGTCTCATTCGGTGATTTGCAGTCAAGTGCCAACGCATTCGGCTAACGCAGTAACCTAAAGTGTTGATGCTCACCGCGAACTCCTGAAGCTCAGCTCCACGGAGCACTGATCTCAGGAGTTCAGTGATGTTCAACGCTGTCTCGCACGTTGTTTTCGCAGTCAAGGGCTAATTTGCACACTGTGAACTCCTGAAAGTCTAAGTAATGTGCAACGCTGTCTCATACGTCGTTATGCCATAAAGGGCTGATGCACTCAGCTAAGTAACATAAAGGGCTAATTAATGCACGCCCGAGATCCAACCTGAATTTCGGAATTCTCGCTCCAGGGAGCACTATTCTCAAGTGTGTTTCTTTTCGGCTCGTACTTTGCATGCCCTCACCTACTTAGTCTTGCCCAAGCACTATCGTTGTTAATTACTCATGTAGAAATCGATTCTCGTACACTTGCCAACCTGTTTGTTGTTCGCCCCAGAAAGGTAAAGCAATCAAAGTTTTCGCAGCGCTTGCGACGCCTCGACATTGTCAAGGTTTCAAAACCCATGTTGGCCAGTACAAAGACGGACTCCGACACGGTCCGGGGGAGGAGCGAAGCTCTCGATAAATTTGTTCAAGAGACGGGTGTCATCGTTTTGCGCATGTTTGCGTCAAGTCACCAGCGGTTTAGGATAGGTTTGACGTTTTGACCCGTTTTTGTCAGATGGTCTTCGCAGACGGTGCAGTCTACAGGCCGCTTTCACTGGCTTTGAACGCAAATTTATATTTTCTACCATTTGACTTGTAGGGGAGACTTCGAGAAAAACGGTCGCCATGGCAAAGGCCTGTACAGGACAGAGACATTTTGACAAAGATGTTGCAAAATGAAGCCAGATGTTGCGAAGTGAAGCCAGCTAAGAGGCGTCAGAACACATGAGGGAAATTGTTCAGTTCTCCTGCCAGGAACAGCGTGGGCAGTTTGATGCTCAGGGATGCGATAATGGCAGGGCTCAGTCGATGCAAAGAAGCTTCTTGCTCAAGGGGTGCTTCAAGATTAGGGCGGGGTTAAGGGAGACGCGCTAAAACCCTAATCTTCACGCAGGTGGCGCCACTCGCAGCATGGCGCCCTCACATTCCCATACTTTGCGAAGGCCTTGTTCCTCAACCTACAGCGAGGCGCCGAATGAACTAGTTCTTTGCAGCGCTGTGTAGTTCAGCCTACAGTCCCGCTGCGCCCCCACTGCGCCAGGATTCGCGCGCGAACTTCAGCCCCGGGGATATCCCATCATCATCTCTTCTAAAAGTAGCCCGACTGGATGTGGAACAGAAAAGCTGCATCAGCCTTGCGCCAGACGAAGAGTGCAAGACGGCCAGGACAATCACTGCTTGGTCGGTAGCAACGCGCGCCAGCTTTGCAGCCGCCAGCATTTTCCACACACATTGCTGAGGTGCGTTGAGGGACACAGGTCCCACCACAGATGAGGGAGCGATCGATCGATTGGCGAAGATCGTCCAACCCTGTTGGAAAATTCAAGCGAGAGTGACCGTGTCCGGAGGTGCCAGGTTCTTGCGTTGACGCTCAAGCCCTCCAGGTCTGAAGCTGGGCGCTTGTCGTGGCGAGCACAGGTCGGTGGCGGGGAGCCCGCGCCCGCAGTGGTATGGAAGAAGAGGGTTCAAGTGTGGATTGAGGCTGTTTTGCGCGGAACTGCCGCACCTTCTCCCCAACTATTGTCGGCAGACCCAGCAGCGGTTCCCGGCCAGAACGCTGCCGCGCGCAAAACGGCGCCGTTGTGACGCGGCATTGGTTTTGTTGGTTTTGGCCTGACGATGTCCGGCGCTCCTCGCGCTGACTTTGACCAGGCTCTTTGTCAGTCAGTGTTTTAAATTTGGCGGGGCTGGCTATATGTCATGACCTCTGCCGGACTGCGTTGATAAGTACCCCGTTCAATTCTGCGTGACCGACCATAGCTTTTGTTCTCGAGTATCTCCCACGCGAGTAGAAAAGTCTTTGTTTTCGCGCGCCTCTTTTTCTCGCGCGCTACCAGATTTGATAGCGGGGCCTACCACTCTCCAGCGTCTCTGCCGTGTATCCGACCGCCCCCACGACTATCGGCGCCAGGGTTTTCGAGTGGCCGCTCGCTTCCAGGATTGCGGAATGGGCAGGCGCATACGCGCGCCATCCATCAGCCTGCGGTCGTGAGTTCATTCGACGCTGCCTACATCTTTAGTCTGTGTGTTCCCGCTTCCTTACAGGCAAGTTTGAGTTGGGCGCCAGTGAGTTGGAGAGCAGTGATTTTGATGCCAACAACTTGGCAGCAAGACATTTTTTTGTTGCGGAGGTTTACACATGCTTGAATGGTTGGACACATGCTTGCGAACGAGGTGCAATCAATGCACAAGCTGCATGATCACTGTGGCTTAAAGATGTATCCTGGAATCCCTCTGCAAGGCATGGATTGCGCGCAACCATGTCACCAATACAAGCCAACAGGCATTTCCCATCTTGCGTGCGCGGGCCTCTCAAGTGGCTTGAATGTTGACACGGGGGCTGTACACCAATGCATTTGGCATTTAGAATCAGAGCGTAATTCTCAGGCATGCGCAATATTGGGCAGTGTTGGTTAACACGTTGAACAGGCCAACAATGTTGCCCGGTTCATTGGTGCGCGCGCAAGACACGTTGAGTTGCGAACAACATCAGGGTTTGCGGCGTTGGGTGTGACAGTGCTGACACCTTCATTCGAAGTTGTTGGGGCGATGTTGAGCGGCTGACAGAAGTGCGTTTCTAGCCTGAAGTTTGGCGCAAGGGCTGGGCCTCCCAGGAATGCTGCACTTGCAGTCGCAGACGTCGGGCGCGACTGACGGTCGACATTGCACTCCGACAATTCAAAACGTTCTTGTCGGTGGGCGGAGAAGATGCTGGGTGATTTTGAATTTTATCTTTGTTTCCGACGACGTTCGCACGCTCCGACATAACGGAAGGTGCTGGGGTGAGTTCGGATGATCGTGAACGCTACTTCGCAGGTCCAAGCACACCAAGTCATTCCTTTGGGCCCTGTTCTGTTCATTACCACATTGCGCATTATTTGAGTTGTTTCATTGTCATGTTCCCAGGGTCCATGAACGCATTGCCAACCTGCAGGCCGGAGTTGGAGCAAGTTCGACCATGGACGGAAGACGTGACGCCCTGCAGTCGCAACGGTCATGGAGCCGGCCAGAAAATCGGCCGCTGCCACACTCAACCTCTGAGGTGCTGGTGGCAAAGGCAGAGTCCACCACAGGGGAAATCTTGGCGAAGAGGTCCAAGTCCAAGGCGATCAGCTTTGACCCCTATTGGAATAGATTCACTCCTATAGTTCGACTTGGTATTACTGGTATACTGCGGAGAGTTGCAGGGGACTGCCTGAGCATCATGCTTGTAACCGGCCAAATCAGTGAGCGTTCCCCCACTTCCTCCAGTGCGCAATCCACCGTTGCATCCTTTGACGCTGAGAACATCGATGCCGACTCGATCACGAGCTCAGGTGAATGCAGTTCGGTGGACCTGGCAGGTCAAGATGTCGACGCCATGGCTCAAACCCTGTTTTGGGAGGACCACCATGCTTATCCTGGCTAAAGGCCAGGAAAGAAAGGGAAGAACCCCACGTCAACCTTGGTAGCCGCTAGCCGAGATGACGGATGAAGAGATGTACCAAGTACCATACATTCAATCCTTATCACAGCGTCGCTGGCGTGCGCGGCTCCAGATCTTGGCCACGTGGGCCGCCGCGCTTACGGTCAACCCCAGCGCCATGGCCGGCGGATACTAGTTACGCTCAAAGGCTGGAATGTTACTGTTGCAGACAGATTCGCAAGGGGCGAGGGTCCCACAGAGTTTCCACAACTCAAGGTCTCTTGCCGGCTCTTGGCCGTCTTCGTCCGTACATTGCGCAAGGACAAGAAAATCGGGCCTCGCCGGCTGCTTAAGCGCTGGCTAGTTAAGCCTACGAGGGATTTGGATGCGCTTTGATATACTCATTGCATGGACTTGGTCTGGCGCTCCGCTCATCATTTGCATTGCGCTCATCTTCATTATCTGACACCCAGATCACACAGCGCGCGAACCCTCCAGTGCCAGGAGGCACTATTAGCTGCGGTTAGAGAGGTGAAGGTCTTGGCAAAATGAGGTCTTGGTAGTACTTGGTAGTCACCTGTTTTCGCAAAGCAACTCACAGGGCGGGCTGCGAGAGATGTTGCGCAGCCATAACATGGAACGCGCACGTCTTCGCGAGCCTGTTGCAGAATTGCATTGATTTGCTTGCAAACCTGCGTTGCGACTTTTTCTGTGAGCGCTTCTGCCGCGCCGCGCTTAGTTCCCATTTTCGATGGGCCTTGGAGCAGCGATGAGCCTGGAACTGGCGCGGCCGATGTTCTGTATAGTTCAGGCCACGCCTGGGGGTTGACTCTTCACAAACGAGAGGTGAAAGCAGGTTGAACACAGAACAAGCATCAAGGGCTGCTTGAGAATTCAAACAAAAGCTGCAAATATCAATTGCTAGGCGTGAAGAGTCCAATTGTTTCGCTTTGGCGAAGGTCATCGTTACAAGGGGCACGTGCAGAGCGGCGCTCGCGAGGGAGAGGGAACATTGTGGCATGACAGCGTGGCACTGAGATCCGCACATCGGTCAAAGTTTGGCAAAGACACCTTTTTTAATTTCAACGGTTTGAGGGATTTCTCGCTCCGCGCGCGCGCGCAGGCTGTTTTTCGCGTTGTGTTTGCGCACGTGATTTAAAGGCGCTTCAAAAACCCCCAACTACTGGGCGCGAAAAACCCGCCAACATGACACCATGTGGATCAATATGGCAACACCTCATCAGCATCGGAGCGTGACAGCAGGTTAGCGCGCAAACAAAGACAGTTATTTTCAAGGATTGTGACCAGAACCTGTTCCGGAACGAGAACCTGCTTTGGAACCTGCTCCGGAACTTGGTCCGGAACTTCTTCCGGAACCTGCTTGACCTGCCCCAAAAATTTTACTGTGGCTGAAGGCCACTTGTCAGCATTGCTGTTTGGAAAAATTTGGTGGTTGACGCGCTACCGGCCCAACCCTCTCATTGAAGCCTGCGTGCGTACCCCCAACAGAAACTTACACGCATCTACTTGTAGTTGTCGCCTAACTATGTACAGACCATGCTGAGAACAAACTACCAGGCACGAAGGATTTGGGGTCTCGAGTTTAAGGTGTTCTTTGCTGGCCTTCAGGTTCTTAACCTTGCAGCACTGGCCATCCACCTGTTGGGTGCATGTTGAAGGTTCTCTTGTGTAGACCTTAGGGTATGAGGTAGACATTCTGCCCCCCAGCTTTGATATGGAGACCCGGCGCTGTATAGCACATCTGTAGGTACTGTTTTGTGGTCTAGAATTTGTCAATGGCATTCACCGTTCACCGTGATTCGTGTCTAATAAACCCGTACTTGTCAGTCGTGGCAGAGTGCGTAGATGACATTGTTTTGTGAAAAATTTCGCGATGCAGGCACAACATGAAGGTACCACAAAGATATTTTGTCAATCTATGTTAATCTTACAGGCCTCGTTTTTCAATGTTTTAGGAACATAACATATGAGGCAAGAGTTTTCCCACGGGGTGATTCATTTCCCATGCGGCGGCAAAACTGGAATGCGGAGATGAATGATGCTTTCTGCCAGTGATGATTGAAAAGAACTGAACATTGTAAAAATGAACAGCTAAATAACTAAACGTCAACGTTTGCTTTATGTTTTGGTCTCAGGCCTGGATGGTTCCAACTTGATATACACAGGGCAGTGGAAGGCGCGCTCGCGCGGACTGCCCAAACCGAGGGCAAGTTGAGAACTGACACTCAGGCAGATGAATTCCATGGGGATGGTGAGCTCCACTGTCCTGACGGCCTGTATCGTGGACAGTTTGTGCTGGGTTCTGAGATTGCGTAGGGGCCTGACAAGCATCAAACAAATGTTTGCCAGGTTGCCATGATGCACCACGATGTTTTCTGTTAGTTGCATATGCATGTTTGTTTGCCTGCCATGTTTATCTTAAATCTTAAACTCTCAGGAATGGCGTCAGAGAAGGAGAAGGTCGTTTTGAGTACAGCCGCGTTCTGGCCTCAGTCGGCGCCACTCAACTTTGCGGACAGTCAGCTGCAGCTTCCAGAGGAACCAAAGTGCCAGCGCAGCATTTTGGTGAGGACACTTCGAGCTACTACCAGGGGCAGTGGAAGGAGGACCTTCGCAGATGAAGCTGTCTTTTGGTCACAAGTAATTATGTCGTGTTGGGATTTGTATTCGAAGCAGAAGACGCTGTTCTGTCACGAACGTTCTTAGTGACGAGCTGCTTCAAATCAAAGAGCAGCAGCGGCAGCAGCATGTTCTTCAAAGGATGAAGCAAATGCATAGATCCTTTGTATCTACATGTGTTTCATTGTGTTTCCCTCTTGAGAATTAGTTTATGGTAAATGAACAGTCGAAACCTGCTTTCTTCTTCAGTTGCGAGACCTCTGATCCTTGGCACATCTCCATTGAATCAAGCTCAGACTTCCCAGCTCAGCACGCCCAGCACTGCAGTTCTGCACTCCAGGTTGTTCCGTGACTGAATCACGGGCATCGAAGCATGTTCAACTGCAAACTGTTTTGTGTAGCCATATCTTTCGTCTTCAGATTGGGGGCTTGAAAGAGTTTGTTTAATCATTTTTTGACCAATTTTAGCAGGACCAACCGCATGGCATTGGAACATGCGTTGACCAACACGGAGAATATGCGGACTCTCAGTCGCAGGTTTAGTCGGAGCTCATGTTCCGCATAGCAAGCAGAATGTATGTTGCTGAAACGCCACATGTTCTTCAGTTCTTCGGTGATGTTTCAACATGAGGACCGGGAGTTCGAAGAAGGGGAGCTCAGTAGACGCTACTTTTCGAGGCACCTTGCAGAGTTGACAGCGACGGTTCACGAATGGAGCATTTTTATGTTTCAGGTCGCGGAGTGTTTTCAAAGTGAAGCACACATTGCCGCCCGGCTCAATTAATCTCGAATGGAAACTAAGGAAAAGATCAACGCGGAAGGAGTCTCATCAAACACGTTCCGGATATTTGGATCGAAAGTGTTCAGAGCAAAAAGGTTTGCGTAGCAAAGAATCATGGAAAATTGTGTTTTCTTAATTTTGAACATACCTAGCCTAGCCAACTTGGCTAGTTACTTGGCAAGAATGTGTATGTGCGCGAAGGCCGGCGATGAGTGTAAAGGTGGAGCCAGGACTTTTTCTTTAGTGGAGCTTTTCTAAAACGTGCCCTGCCAGAGTCTTCCACCTCCGACGAAAACACTAAAGCCCAAGAGAAAGCAAGCTGGAAGCGCGAAACAAGTCAGAACTAGAGCGTCGCTGTTTAGTTTTTAGCATGGCGAAAGTGCCGTTGCAATATGTTCGCAAGGACCGCAAGGCCTACCCCGGAGCTCAGTGATTGGTGGACTCTTGGGTGAGGAGACTGGTTTGGCAGAACCGAACTGGCCGTGAGGCAACCCATTTTCCACTGCGTTTGGCAGACATATTTGATCAAAATCTCGTTTCGATTGGTAGAACACCGCATTTTGTTTCAGCACATCTACGAAAATTTACAATTGGAATTAGCCTGCCCACACACACATGTATATAATATTACGAAAGCCAGCCGATAGGCTAGGCTTGAGCTTTTAGGGCGAACGAAGTGAGTTAAGGAGGTGTGGGGGGGGTGGTCGTTGAGAGGGACATTTTGAGAGGGTGAACCCAGATCTTGGCGGGGAAGAGCGCTCCAAAGCGAGGGTCAGAAAAGCAGTGAAAATGGGGTTTGGTGATGCAAGTGATGCAATGGACGCCGAGTGTACATCATTAGCATCATGAAGGGCTTTGGACCCTGGGCATCAGATATTGATCCTAATCAATATTCTTGAAAAAAATCAACAATTTCTATTGATTTGGGCGCGTGCTTTTTCAATAGAAATTCTTCCTCAAAGCCAAGCAAAAATCAATAGGAAATTCAATAAACAGCAACATGGTCAGCTTGATCAAATTTGATCAAATTTGATCAAAAACCAGCCAAATTTGATCAAAAACCAGCCAAATTTGATCAAATTTGATCAAAAACCAGCCAAATTTGATCAAATTTGATCAAAATTGATCAAATTTGATCAAATTTGCTTTTTCGAAGCTGCCCAGAAATCAATACCGGAATCAATATCAAAATCAATATGATTTTCAATATTTTTGGCAAATCAAAAATATTGATATTTTTTCGGTTTATTGATTAGGATCAATATCCGATGCTCAGGGGAGGCTATTTGGACAAATGGGCATTGAGCAATCGAGTGGAGACAGGGACCCACGTACAGAGCAGACCGCAGCCGCATGTAGGATACGAGTTCCCAGGACAACCCGTAACTCGCAAAATCCATAGAGAACCGAAAGTGACATGAGTTCAAGTCCTTGAATTTGAACTGAGTTTCGGCGGGGGCCTGCGAGGTTGACTACATGCCCCCTAGCAAAAACTATACTTGCACCATGTCCTCGGTCAAGTGGATGCTTCTCGCAGCGTCCACACGCACCGAACGTTTTTCCGGCCTGCCGGTGCAGATAGATAGAGATAGAGACAGAGAGAGATAGATAGATAGATACATAGATAGATAAATTCTATGTACTACTGACTCATGATGTCGCCTTTATGCCAGCAGCCCTGGCCGAATCCAGTCAGCCTGGGTCCACGGCCCAAAGATCTACACACACAGGCGCCGAAGTCAAAGAGTTGATAAGAAAGAGAAGAATAAAGAATGTGTTTGGCTCGTTTAATAAGGCCTCTTTAAATGAAAAAGATTGTGTTTTGGATCGAGCCAGAACATGAATCACTCAAGTCCAGGCATGTGCGTCGACAGGCACAATCCTCACTCCTTTGCTAGCCCAAGCTACTCCCGCTGGACCTCCCTTCTGCGCCGCGGGATCAAACGTCCGTGTCCCGGCTAAGACGTGCCCGTTCACTCTTCCAAACGACGCGCCGTAGTACGCATTGCAAACTTCAAACACTCCAAATGTAACAAGCGCGTAATTGCTTCTTTTCAAAACGCACGCCGTACTCGCGCGCGCGCGCACGCGCGCTGAGGCGACCCTGACTGTGGAGAAGGTCTCCCTGCGCGCGCGCGTGATATCCCACCACGCGAACTCAGGCGGTATTTCCCCTTCGCTAATGCTGATGTCGCCTTCCAACTTCCATAAGATGCATACCTTCCTGCGTGATGCCTGCATGTGACAAACACATGCCATTGCCTTGCGATGATGACCTACACCAACATACAACGTATCGCATTTCTCTTTCCGAACTTATCCGAAAGCCGCCCGGCTTGCTTCTCTGCTCCCTCCATCACCACTACATATGCCCCCCGCATCCGCGGCACCGCTGACTCGCAAGCTGCCGACCATGTGTCTTGCGCCCCGACGCCCGCCAGGAAAAAGAGACACTCGTCTGGCAGCTGCTGGTTTTAACCCCCACTTCTCAGGTTTTTCTTTATGCGTATATATAATATATATATATATATTGGCTTGACCCTGTAAGTAAAGATAGGGGCCTTGGTTCATTTTGCTTGCAGCTCCGGCTCTAAGCTTCCCAATCATGTGGGGGCACACAGCCGTGTGCTCCTGCCCACTGTGCCCCTCGGCGCGGAGGGCTCACTGTGCCATTGCCGAGGGTCGCTGTGGATTGGCTTTGTGGACTTCGCTGCTGCGCGGGCCCGCAATTTGGCGGGCGATCTTCAAGATTTCATAGAGGTTCGAGTCAAGGCTGAACGGGAGCGGGCGCCCCCTCCTCACCCTGGCCGGACCGATGGACGGGAACGTGATCGTCAAGAAGATCCACGCGGCGAAGAAGAGAGGGCAGAAGAAGTGAAAGGCAAGGGCAATTCAGGCAAGGGCGTGGTGGAGAAAGGAGGAGTTCCACAAGGCCACAGTCGAAGGCCAGTCTATCGAGGAGAGGCGGAGGTGTTAGATCGCTCTACGGGAGGCGAAGGCGAGCTGAGGACACGGAGAACGCCAAGAAGGGGCTCTCTGCCAAGGTTTTGCCACATCCACCTCGAGATCGGCATTCTGGAGAACGTGACGTGACGGAGGAGTTCACATAAAAAGAGAAGAGGAGGAGAACAGGTCGGAAGACGAGAGAGGCCGTGAGGCCGTGAGGAGCCTGGCGTGGGGGAGGTACATAGATCTCCTCGCCAAGGTCGAAAAGAGAAAAGGAAGTCCCGCGAGAAGAAGAAGAAGAAGAAGGAAGAAAGGAAGGAAGAAAGAAAGAAAGAAAGAAGAAAAAAGAAGAAAGAAGAAGGAAGAAAGAAGAAGCGTTCTCATCGAACCCACACCCCCGAGGATCGTTCAAGCTCCTGTTCAACTTGAACCGCCCGTGGGAGTGGATCAGGCCTCATCTCTCTGGCGCCTTTCGTGGGCGACCTGTGGTAAACGTGGGAAATGGTTCTTCACTGCGTTGGCCGGGTTTGAGGAACCCATTGACGTCAAAAGTGTTGACAACTTGTCGGGGGAGGGCCTCCATGCCAAGGGGTGTCCGGGTTCGGATTGAATGCTGATGGGAGAGGCGCCTTGAAGGATCATCGCAGCAGTCTATTTCCGCATGTTGGGCGCGTCACAGGACTGGTGAGGAGTTGCTTTCCTTGTGCCCACGCGCGCCGTTTGATGGAGAGCGTCGTTTCTCATCGATCCATCACATGCGACAGGCTGTCGTCGGCGGCGTTTCTTCTGGCTGTCATGGGGGTTAGTCAAGGGACTAGGCGCGACTGTCTCCTCAGCTAAGGGGGACGGGTGGAGCCAGGCGGTGAAGGTGAAGCTTAAGCTCACCTAAATAAGCTGAAATCGCATGCCCGTGACATGGAAAACTCTGGCAGGAGCGTCTCCACCGCGATCAACTCTTCTCTTCAACGGCGGCATTCACCCTCTTTTTTCTTCCTGCTTCTGATTGTCCTCAAGGCCTTGAAGTCGGACTGACGATCTTCCTTCTCTACTTCTTTGTTCTTGTCCTCCTCCTGTCCTGTACCTGGGGTTTCAGCTCGAGGTGAAAGGGTTTCGATGGCCTGCTGTGGAGTCCAACCCGACATGAGCTTCATAGCAGAACTGGCAAGGCAGCAAAGTCGTGAACATTTTTTTGGAGGTTTGAGGAATGCACCCTTGAGCTTTTTCTGCTGATTTCCCCCATTGGATTGCGAATTGTCCTTGAGTGTCACGCTTTTTGCCTCTGTGGCAGGAAGGTCTAAAGCAAATTTCTTGCACATCTTGCCCAGGAATGACATGAACTGATCAGCAGAGGGGGAAATGCTCCACTGGCGAATGATCTTATCTGGTGTCCTCAAAGTTGGCAAGCCGCTCTGCTTGGCCTTCTGTGACCATTGTAAAACCGAGAGCGCTGGCTGTGGAGGCACTGCTGCTTCCTCTTCTTTTGGAGTTGGAAATGGAAGGACACATTTCCATTCTTCTGCCATGAACTTCAGCGAGACAATGTCGATGATGTGCTCTTTGCACCACTCTGCCTGTGGCGGCGAGGAAGAGGCCACCCGCATATGATTAAGTACAACAAATATCGCCCAAAAGTTTCTAAACATTCAGATACGATCATAGTTTCAACATCCAGTGCCTCGATCTCACTTTCAGCAAAGCCAAGGTAGTACATGTCCACACCTAACTTCCCACAGAATTTCTCATTCATATAGCCCTTCAAAATGTCAGCTGAACGGACAGCTAGGTCAATCAAGAAGACCGCCTTTGCTGGGACACCAAGAGTTTAGATGCCTCCTGCCCAATCTGAAAACACCTTCTCACTCCTTGCGCCCGGGTCTCCATGGGGAACAGGACGCGGCCACATTGAATCACCTTCCTGCTTGTTGTTTGAAAGACAGTACTTGTTTCTGAAGGGGATATGGAAATACAGGATATGGACAACATGCGGATATGTTTCTCAACGTACTGCCTTGCGACAAAAAAAGTTGGTACCGAAAAGTTAAAGAATCAGTCCTTGACTCCCGCGTATCGTTCCGTGATGCATACGCCATGACAAATGCCTGGTCACTGCTGACATTGGAATTCGCCAACATCTCACCTCTTCAACCCACACAAGTCCTCTCTTGTTGCTGTGTGCCGGCGCAAGGACAATGCCAAGATTCAAGCTGCCATGGCCTTCGTTCAATAATCCCATTATCGCAGCCTGCTTCCTCTGAGAGTCTGCTTTCAGCAAACTCGGACATCAGTGAATGGCACGGCATGGTTCTTGGCTACACTTTTCCGGACTTTGGTGATCTCATTGAAAAGCACTTCAGCTTTCTCGAGCAAATTCAAACTGAAGCACCAATTCCGGTCACTCAGATCCATCAGAGAATGAGCTGCTTTTCGGCAGGCTTTCTGCTTTTCAAGCTTTTGAGCCACACTTGAGTGATAGACAGCTGTGTCTCGATCTTCGCACTTCCGACGCC